AAAAAATATTGCATATATATTTTTATTAAATAAAATATGTTTTTTATTATTTAATATATAGTATCATGTCGGGCTCGGGCTCGGGCTCAAGCCGGGTTTTTTTGAGAAATCCTGAGCCTGGCCCGAAAAAGGTCGGGCCCAGTGCTTTAGGCCCGAGCCCGAGCCTGTGGACCTAAAATTATGACCAAGCCCAACTTATAACGGGCCGGGCCGTTGGGCTAACCAGCCCATGAACAGGTCTAATGACCACAGTTGTTCTGCTTTGGCATGTGGTCAAATGGGAAATTAAGATTTTCAATTTTTTTCTAGTGTTGCCAATGAGGCAAGCAAGCCTTTTGGGCCTGAACACCAAGGAAGTTTGACCAATCATTCAAGACAATTTTCTTCTACAACTGGAGGGGTAAATTTCTTCTTAGATAGCTTTGTTTCCATTTGTTGAATCTGTAATCCCACTTGGATCAGAACCAATTGTTGGAGTAGAGTTAGAATCCATCAGATGGATGGCTGGCTGAAATTTCAAAAAAATTTTCTAACCTTTTCCCGAACCGATTTCCCAGTAAATTTGAAATTTAAAATTTTGGGATCGCTCTTGCATTGAACTGGACCATATTTGAAACCAAGGAGAAGGGAGATTATATATGATATAGAGACCACAAATCACAGCTCCCAAGGTGGTAGTTCACACCCAATATTAGTCCTAAAACCGGCCTCCAACTGAAGATGGTGCAGTGTACAGAGAACTGATTCAGCAACACTTGATTTCAGCAAATCTGCTATGCAACTTGCTTGGATCGAGTAGGGTAATTGAGCCTGCTATTCTTTTGTGTTTTTCTTGCAAAAACAAAGAAGAAAACTGATCTAAATCAGTTCTTGAAAGCCTAGGTCATTCTAGGGTTTCTTGGGAGACAAAAGAAAAGAAGAGAGAACAAGAGAGAGAGGTAGTTTAGTCTTGTTTGCCATCTTCTCCTTTTATCTCTTAATGGAGCACACTCCTAATCTAATTAGGAGATTATCCAGACCTGAATTGGATTTGGACTCTTTTAACAATTAAATATTATCCTCTTGAGAGGATAAGTGCTCCATACCTAATACCAAACCCAGATTTGATCCAATGTGATAGCTTAAATTAATCTTATTAATATTAGGCCTTTGGCCCATTTTCTTCAAAGGCTCATGACCCTAGGTGTTGCATGGCCACTTTAGGCCTGATATTGTATGGTGTGGGCCATGGGACCCCACAAAGGTCTCACTCAAGTCCATAAGGGTCCGACCCCACTTCTAAAAGAGGCTATGCCGAATTCACTATTCAGAGCAGTGAACCCTTGAGCCAATCAACATAGACTCAATCTGGGCCCAACATTTACACCTAAATGATCCTTGGATTCAGCCACCCTATGAAGCCCATCAGGTAATCAGCCCTGTAATGGTCTCTTACACTTAACCTCTCGGCCCATAATGATCAGAACACTGCTCGACAGGGAAGGACCTATCCTCTGGCTGCAAGGTGCAGTGCCACACTCTCTGCTCAGATGGATCCTGGGATTAAAACCTTTTGCAAATATTTTTCATAAAATAGTATTATAATGTATAAATACATTTTGCAAAACCAGATTTCAAATACATTTGAAATCCATTGCTGGCAGTTTAGGTTTCCATCAGAGAGAGTGTAAACCCTGATATTCACCTTGTCCGACAAAGGGGCCGATCCTATAACTATGATCACCTGCTCAAGTGATTTCTCAAACTGCTCCAACATGCCCAGGTATTTGACCCCTGATGGATCTCACTGATTGTCACATCAAAAACACCCTAGTCCAACACCTAGTGCAGTACCATAATCAAGTCTAGGGTTATGTAAAACGTTCCACTTTTGTCCATCTATTTCCAAGGTCCAAGGCATAATTAGAAATCGGTTCGGGTTCAGTGTTTCTTTCAAACACACACTGCTTGTGCTTGGGGTCTAACCTAATAGCTGAGACAAACTGCTTCAACTGTTTGGCAGCACACTAGTGTCAGCCTTGTCAGGATAAACTCCCCAAGTCTATCTAACGGCTGAGAACATTCTAAACTAACACGAGTCTCATTAGTGTCCAGTTTAAGGGGTAATACACAGAAAACATACTAATATCAACATGAAACAATAATGTACTTTATTCATGTACAAATAAATCTTTATGTACATCAGTCTGATTGGAGCTAAGGGCATAAACTGTCTAACACCAATCACCTTTGTATCACACATTACCTCCAAGGTGACATCTTCAAAGTTCATCGTGAGTATTTTAAGGGTTTCTCCTTTTGAGTGGTTGGCCCAACACCAAAATTTGCAATCAAGACATCATCCAACCTTAATCTCTCTATTTTAGGTCAACAATTTGAGTTAAATTTTACTTTTGTGGCCCAACACCTATTGTTTCGATATTTGCATATGCTCTTTTATTCTTTATTTTTTATACATGTTCAGTGAGCAGGTGATTTAATCTAAAATTTCTCCACTTTCTTATTTAGAGATTTGTAATGCATTATGTTCACACTATTGTTGAGCCAATCTCAACAAGCTAAAGATGGTAAAAGATGCACCTTTTTTTTCATTAGACCCACCTCTAGCAAAAGTAAAATTGACTACAATATTCTAAATGTGCTTGAAGAATAGCCAAAGGACAATTATGCAATTTACACCTATCTAAGTCTATCCAAACATTAATTCAGTTACTCCATAAAAAGTAATATTGAAGGAAGAGTAGGATCCTGGATGCACTTACTGTATATGTCAAGAAGGGCAAACATCACTATTAAAGCCTATTGTAGATATCCCCTTTTAAGATCATAACTGAAAGAACTAAACATCAACAAATAAATTCTGGCATGGACTTGGTTTCAAGATGTTAAATGATGCACTTACATTATTGATGTGATTCCTTGTTAACTTTCTTTACTTGTCTTCATAAACATAAAAGACTGCTGATATTTTCTTGTTTATGATCCATGTTTAGATATACTCCAATATCAGATCCAGATTCTAAGGGATATTTTGATTTACTGATCAAGGTATACCATTTCCAATTACTGCTTTTACTTTTTATTGGGCGTTTCCAATGTAGCGATATTTCCATTATGTGTTCCAGCTTGTATTTTTTGCTTTTGATTAATAAATCCTATTTGATCTTGTTACTGATAAAAAAATTATTTTTCAAAGTTTTACCGACAACTGTTATAGATTTCTTTCTTTAAAGAGCAATTCCTTTCATGAGAATCTTGAACTTATTCTATGCAATGGTGCAGGTTTATCCTGAAGGAAAAATGAGTCAGCATTTTGCAAGCTTAAAAGCAGGGGATGTACTGGAAGTCAAAGGGTTGCATCTTTATACCTTCTGTTTAATTGTTTCTAAACTGCTGCAGCCTTTTACCTTATCATCATTTGGATTTTCTGTCTTGCAGGCCAATTGAAAAGCTTAGATACACTCCAAATATGAAGAAAAAAATTGGCATGGTAAGGAAAAGGCATCTGGAGATCCAGAACTAAATTCATTTGTTTTAGCTTTTCTTTCAAGTATTGTGTTGTTATGTAATAGCTTGAAATGAATTCATTTGTCATCATATTGAAATCGAATACCCTAAACCCACATATCATCTTATTGGGGTAAAGAGGCCAGAGGTTGAAGTCAGGTTTATCTTTGGTAGATCTGGTATTTAATTTTGTGTGGCATTTCTAATTAGGCAAGTGATTATGAAAAACTAGGAAATATGCACTACTTGTACTGCCTAGGCTTAGAACATTAGGTTTCTCTGCTATTGCTTTGGTATTTAATTTACTCTATGCTTCAAGTAAAATGTTTTCTAGCGTTCATCAGTTAACCCACACATTATATTATTCTAGCTTTCTACTTCATGCAATTTTTTCCATTTTTCATTGATGTTTGATTTTATATTACTATCTGAATTTATTGAACATTATTTTCTGTTGCCTGTGCATCACCAGGGCAGGCCAAATAGTCGAAGCATCACATCGTGCATTGACTACATTGCAAGAAACATGGGGTCTCATAGAAGCATAACTGGTTCTAATTTCCAAATAGTCTTTGTAAAATCATGGTTTCCAATCATAGCAACATGGCTTACACTGAATAGAGCTTAAATTCATTGAGTAGAGTATCATGCATTACACTAGAATGTTAAATTGATTTTTATCAGAAGTATCATCAAGCAGGATATTTTTTTGAGAGGAATTTAACCAGATTTCATTGAGGGAATAAAGGGTACATGAGAAGGTGTACAAAACAGGGGAAGAACCCCAAAAGATTACAGAGGAGGAAGCTTGTCACTATACAAATGATCCAAAAACACGCCACATTTTGCTAAGTCATCTGCTATATGATTTATTTCCCTAGGAATCCAAGCTAATTTTGCATTCAAAGTCCAAGGAGTCCCAAGCCTCTGCCAAGTAGTGGTTCAGTCTCCAAGGTCCCCTTTCCTTATCCCTTAACCATTTTATGGTATTTGCTGAGTCACCTGCAATGATTAAGTTCTGGATTCCCAAATTTTTTATTATTCTGATTCCTGTGAGAGCTGCCATCACTTCAGCCTTTGTGGAATCAGCCAGTCCGATTGGACCACTGAAGGTCCAGCATATGTTACCCCTTTCGTCCCTTACTATGCCTCCAATTCCAGCTAAGCCAGGATTTCCCAAAGCACTTCCATCGAAGTTTAGGGTCACCTCTCCATCACTGAGAAAATCTGGTTGTCTCAAGGTTATTTGATGAGGGTGAGGGAGAAACAGAAAGAGGTGAACATCTCTATTGAGGTCATTGACTGAGTCCTTCGAACAGATCTGAATTGACAGTCCAGAGGTTGCAAAGGTAAGAAATGTCTGAAATTAACTCTTCAAGGGGCCTGAATTTATTGTCAAAGAGGCGTTTATTTCTTTCGTCCTAAACTCCCCACATTTCTGCATGTAGCACGGATTGCCAATAAACTTTACCCCTTTTACTTGAGCCTATGCCTTGCCACTGATGCAAGAAGTCCAGAATGTCCTCCTGCCATTCTCCAAAAACGAAACCAAATGTTTTGGGTGAATTTACAGTGGCGGAGGATGTGATCTGTTGATTCACCATCACTAAAACATAAAATGCATACACAAGGAGAGATAGACAGTCTTCCCAAAATACTTCTTCTGTAAGAGATCACAAGTGTTTAGTCTCTGAAGACAAGCTTCCCATACAAAGAAGCAGACTCTTGAAGGGATATGGCTGCACCAGATCTTCTTGAAGGGGAAGGAGTTGTTCGCCAGCTATCAGAACCTTGAACATAGACTTGGAAGAAAATTCACCAGTAGGATGGGGTGTCCAGGTTTGGGTATTAGGGGAGGGGGAGATGTAGGCTTCTTTCATGGTCTGAAGTAAGGCAATTAGTTCAGAAATCTCCAGGTCCCTTCTTGGTCTTATAAGGCAATGGTTTAGGGTGTTCTCAGCAGTTTGGTCTGGAAGTCAAGAAGAGACAGTGGCTTCTTGGTAAAGGGTGAGGTTAAAAAGTCTGGGGAATGAGGCTGCAAGGGTAGTTTCTCCCCACCAGAGGTCTTTCCAGAATTTTATTTTAGATCCATTACCCACTTTATATCTTATAAAGGGAAAGAAAAAAGAGTGAGTGGAGATTATACCTTTCCAAGGATTTGGTGACTTTATCCTGTTCAAATGGAGATTTCTATCCCACCCACTTGTGTTTGACCTGTATTTGCTTGAAATGACAGCTGCCAAAGAGCATTGGATTCTCCACTTCCCTTTGGTTCACTTTCAGCTTAGAGATGAAGTTTTTCTGCGCCTTCCCGAAGCATAAATGTGGAAAAATCTGGAGTTGTTGTCTCCTTCTTTCAGCCACCTCACTCTCGATCTCTGTCTCCGATAGATTTCTTCTCTTCTGATCAGCTGCTCCCAAACCTTCCTCAAATCAGCTCTTCTACCTTTGCTTAGCTCATCTAGGGTGCCATTTTGTTCTCTGCTATCTAACTCCTCTAACTCCGTGAGAATTTTTTTCTTCTCTTCTTCAGATGCTTTAAATTCCTCTCTTCTCCAAGCTTTGAGATTTCTCTTTAGGACTTTTAATTTTTGTAACAACCTGAATCCAGTCCAGCCCTCTACTTTGCACTCTTCCCAGCAAGCAGCAACCTTCTTGTTGAAGTCTTTATGAGATAACCAGAATTTTTCCAATCTGAATGGGGCCTTTCCTTTGATGATCCTTTCAGTGTTCAGCAGGATAGGCCAGTGATCTGAAGTGCACCATGGGCGAAGTTCTTGGAACAGGTTGGGGAATTTCTCCATCCAGTCCTGACTCCTGAGAGAGTAGAAATCTGTGCAGTCTACAGCTTATGACATTTTCTTGCATGTTTGACCAAGTGAAGAGTCCATTATTAAGGGGGAAGTCACACAGATTGTGTCTAGATACGAAGTTAGAAAAATTCCTCATACTTCTGGTCGGGACTCTACCATTGGAGTGTTCTTGACTAAATCTGATGATGTTGAAGTCTCCTGCTACACACCATGGGATATCTTCCTCCTCATGCAGAGAGTTCAGTTCGTCCCAAAATCTTTCTCTATCAGATGGGGAGTTGGGGCCGTACACTCCAGTTAGAATCCAACTAAAACCATCTTTGATGTTAGTGAACAAAACCGAGGTCAAGAATTCCCCTTTATCAATCTCCAGATCCGATATTTCTTCTTCCTTCCAAGCTAGGATGGTTCCACCTACAGAACCCACCGCTGGAACAGCAGTCCATTTTCTTCCCCTTATTCCCCAAATGGCTTTCATAAGTTTTCTATCAATTATTTCCTTTTTTGATTCTTGGAGTATAATTATGTCTGGGTTTTCTCTTTTCAGAGTTTTTTCACTATACTTCTTTTGAGCTGACCTCCCAAACCTCTGAAGTTCCAGCTTAAGACCTTCATTGAGTCACTCTTACTGAAATCCCTTTAATTGTCCATTAATCCCCACTAGAGCCTTTTTAGTTCTCTTTTGGGACCCTTTTTTCTGCTTTCCTCCTTATGCTTTCCCGATTTGATCTGTTCTTTCTTAGTTATTTTCTGTTTCTCTTCTCCTTTCTCTCTTCTTTCAATTCCCAAAGCTCCAGCAATGTTAATATCTCCTGTATTCTCCACCACCTTCCTACCAATGCTAGATGGCGCATCTGTCTGAAGCGGATCATTCTGCTTTGGGTGGGATGACATTCCATTTGAACCTGAAAAACAAGATGGAGAAGAAAGACAATGAGAGACAATGGGGAGAAAATGAGTATGAGGATTAGGAGAATCAGAAAAATGAGGGGCAGATGATCTCCCTAAGTGTTTCTGAGGATTTTGGCACTGACTATGAAAGGGGGTTGGCGAAAGTCTTCCTTGTCTACAAACATGGGTGTCTGAGTCTGAAGTCGATCCATATTCTGGATTGATTAGTTGTGTCTGCTCGAGTATCTCCACACTTCCCCAAGGATCTTTCCTTGCGAACAGTCCCTTTGCCCTTTTGAAGGCTGTTTCTCGAGGATCTGGTTCTGCATCTGTTGCATACGAGCTAAGGTCTTCCTCTGAATCATCTTCTTCGTTGGCGGAAGAAGAACCAGAGCTCTCTGAAGGAGTAGGAGCCCTGAATGCGTTTCCCTTGTACCGGATAGTGGGTGTAAGTTTCTTTAGGGGGGGGGGGGGGGGGGGCAGGACTGTCCGACTTCCTTCCTTCTTTTAGACTCTTTGAGAGCTTTAGTCTTAATGGGGAAATAGAGCTCCTGTGTTGCTGCTCGGACTCCCGCCACTGGCTTTTCTTCAACATTACGCAAGTCTATGTTCGATCAGACTTTGGAGCTGCTAAGGGGGATTTGCCATGTGGATGAGTGCCATTAGAGCGAGTCAGCTCGGTGGGAAAGGGAGGTGGCTCGTTCGTCTTCTTGACCTCCACTGAGAGGTAGAACCAAACCTCTCTGTCAAGAATGGGAATCGATCGAGGGATTGCATGGATGCCATGATTTTTCACCTTGATTCTAGCAAAGCTTAACTCAGAAAGGTTCAACAATCTGGGGTCTATCTCTTCAAGGCCTCCGCAAAGATCTCCGATTAGGGAGAAGGTTTTCTCCGTCCATAGGTGGAAGGGGAGGCATTGTAGCTTCAACCATCCTTTAAAACTCAATTGTTCTGGGATTGCGTTTTATCTTTGGCCACCGCCGTTCTATCTGAACCCAATCGCCAAAGACAAAGATTGATTTTAGCTTAGTCCAGGACAGCGCCAGATCTTCTGTGGGGGCAAAACCCAGTGCTCTGTTTTTTTTTTTTTCAAAGGGGAGCAGTTTCAGCAGATTTTTGAGTGTGGGTTCGCAGACAACCCTAGCTTAACTTCTTTCCAGTTAGCGAGGGAGGCTTTGAACACACAAAAGCCCGTTTCCAGTTTCCGAAAGGTTTGTCTTGATGGACAATAGACAGGAATGCAGAACCCCCAGTCTTGATTATCTTGCTTTTGGCTTCAAGCGAGGGAAAGAGGTCCGGCGAGAGATTTTCAAGACGGGGGTTCACTTTGGAAGGACAAAAGCAGTCAAATAACCAGATGAAAGATTTCCAACCTCCAGTTGTTGGCTCTTCTGGGATACAGATGTTCCTTACCTTGTCTACTTTTTCCCATCTACTGAGACAAATGAATCTCCTCCATTTATTTTTGATAAAACTCAGATTAGATGTTCGTATAAGTTCAGATCAGAAGAAAGAGAAGAAGGAGAAGAAGAAGAAGAGAGAGAAGAAGGAGAAGAAGAAGGAGAAAAGGTCACGGCCAAACTAGAGAGAAAATTTTTCTAATCCCTCTATTCGGCCCTTCTTTTATTTATACTCTTCTAAGGTATACAAGAATTACCATTGTGCCCTCACTTAAGTGAGAGCCACATCAGCTGAACAACTCATATATAACTAAACATAAAAGGACTATACTACCCTTGTACAGCCGACTCTAACAATTTTTTAAGTTGTAGGTAAAGGATTCGTCCTTTGTTAACTCTCTTACAGTCTGCTAACAGCCTTCGCCTGTTTTCCACTGCCTCCTGAATGAAAGTTTTCATCCAAAGAATGTCCTCTTGAGACAGGACAATTTGTGTCCAAGCTCCCTTGCCTCTTTCCGTTACTGCAAGTTCGTCTTCTCAGTGTAGACTTCTTCGTTCAATTTCAAAGAATTTTGACCCAACAACTGCAAATCTCTTTCCCATCTTCGTTCGATTCTCCGATCCTCAAGATGCTGAAGTTGTAAATTGTGCAAATCTCTTTCGATTCTCCGATACCCCTCAACATTTCATCACCGACCATAGTATCAGCACATACATCCAGTCCCAGAATCTGTTAGTTTTTAGTGGAGCACAAGAAGGATATCTACATGCTCAATTAAAGGCCTTTAAGTTCATTGTTTTGGCATGGACCATCCTTAATTTTAGCTATTTCTCCCAGATTGAGGCCTATGCATTCTTGCATTGAGCCTTGAAACAAGATCCACCCAGCTGCTGAAAGATTAATAAATTAAAGACAGCTAGCATTAATCCACTAAATATATTCCTTGTTTTTTATATTAATTTATTTTTTTGTGTGAAACTTCTTTCAAAGTTGCTTAAACTAGTTAGATCCCCCCCCCCAAAAAAAAAAAAAATAAAATAAATAAATAAACAAAGGAATAGCTACTGACCTCTCTTTTTCTCTCATCTAGTCTTGTTTTCTTTCCTCTTTTCTGCAAACTACAAGCAAAGGGGCTATGACTCAATTTTTGTGCGATATGTTCCTCCATGTCTTTGCTGCAACATGTTTGCTTTTGTTCCTTGAAATTGATTAAATTTAATTCTAACATTTTCAGTGCTATCATCAAAGTATGCATGTAAATTAAACATTGATATAAAACAAAAACTTACAAATGATAGATTATCTGCACTGAATTGAAGAGTGTTAAATATAATGGAGTAGTAAGAACTCTTCTTTTCCCAGATTGCAGGTGGCACTGGCCTAACACCAATGCTGCAAGTAGTCGAGGCTATTCTGAAAAATCCTGAGGACAACACTCAGGTAAGGCTGTTTTCTCTGCTCTGCTTTAATGTTTGCTGGAGGGGATGGGCAACAATTTTTGTCTTACCTTGGAAGGGGCAAATGACTTGGGTTAACCTTCCAAGGAAGGTCCAAATGAAAAATGAACGTACAAAGTGAATTCTCTTTCCTAGTTTTATAAGCTTACCACATTTTTTATCAATATAACCATGAATTTTATTAATGAGATAAAAATATACAAGTACAACCAGGTTAAAGAAATTTATATAGAGAGAGTTAAAACCTCTTATCTCTCCCCTAATTTCCTTCTTTTTATTACAATTGTGCCCAAAAGAGTAGTTGTCTCCCCACCCCTTGCTTCGCTAGTGTATCAGCCATATTGTTAGCAGTCCTATATGCTTACCACATTCTGATATAATAATTATCTTGTCTAGCTTTAGAAAAAAAGAAAGAAAACCATATTCCATTTTTTGAGTTAAATCTTAATTCTATTCGTCTTAAGATCTGTTAGTTACCTATGTCATTTTCAAGAAAAAATCCATGTGCATATGTGTCTTCTGGACAGATCTCATTTTTTTTATTGGAGTATCAGGACTTGTGCTGGATATTTTCCTTGCATTTGTAGGTAACATCTAATTATCAAAAAGTCCTTCCACTTTGTTAATTTCACCTTTATAATCTATTATATTCTTTCAGAAATTTATATACCAATTGTTCATCGATACTCCTCATGAGCACCATGTGGAATGGAAACACTTGATTCTGATTTTTCATGGAATTTGAACCATCATTTCCACCACCTGAAATATATTCATCAGATGGTTAAAGAAACTGTACAGATTCGTTTTCAATAAAATCTGAAATGACCTGATTCCAATATCCTACTGAATATTAAAATGGATCCAAAGAATACCACAATGAAATTATTTTATTTCATATGACCTCCAAACATTCTACAAGTTTTTGCACTCAAAATATCTGGTATGATGTGCAAGTTGCAGCCTTCTAGATGTTGTTTTCTTTTGTTATTGCAGGTATCACTCCTTTATGCCAACATCTCTCCAGAAGACATACTACTCAAAAAGAAGCTTGACATACTTGCTACAAGCCATCCAAATTTCAAGGTACTTTTAAGTTTCTGGATGATATTATTTGCAGGGCAAAGTCCTGAAAGCTTTGCTTGTTTGTTTGTTTTCCCCCTAATTACTACTGCTGAACAAAGAAAAAAAAAACAAAGCTTACCTTGTGTCAACATACCAGGTATTTTACACTGTAGATAAACCATCTGAGAACTGGAGAGGAGGTAAAGGGTACATTTCAAAAGACATGATCCTGAAAGGCTTGCCTGGCCCTGGTGATGACACACTTATCCTTGTAAGTTCTTTGCTAACTATGGATTTTTTCAAGTCTTGCTGTTTTCACTAATTCATCATCTCTATTATAAATTCATACCTGTGTGGAATGAAGATTGTCTGCCTTGTCCAAAAACCAATCACTAATTCAACAATAAACGATGCTATTTATTTTTCCTGCATGCGTATGCATGTGTTTCAGTATCTGTCCTGGACCAATCACCATTTTATTTCAACATAATTGGATCTTCCCCTAGCACTGAAGATTTTCTTGGTGGTACCCATGATTAATTTTTCACTTTTCAGTGGTAACGTAGCACTGGCCAAACCCCTACTGAAAGTAATCAAGATAATCAAATACAATGAAGGTTTATAGCACCCAATCCCCTGTCAAGTTTTCCTTTTAGTGCAATCTCCAAAATTTTTTTACCAATAATCTCCATTTTTTATATCCTACTACAAAGATGCAAGGAACTCAAGCACTTATTTATATTCCAACTGTGATTCACTATCAGTTAAAGATATTCGTCCTTTCACCAGCTTATATAGTCAGTGCCAAGGTTGTATTTGGAAAAAGGATACTGGTTTCCACAAAAACAAAGATAAGCATACATAAGAATTCTTTCTGTATTCAGCATGTTTCTACAGCTGGACTGCAAAAATTTTAAGTTGTGGAAATGTGGAATCTATATTACCATTTCCATCCTGTGTTCCTTTTCTGTCCCATCAAAACATGAAGACTTTATCCAAAATTTTCAAATTAATGGTATTGCTCAAATTTTAGAGTATCAATATGATACAACCAATATAGGCTGATACATATTGGATTTTGAGGTTAATGGCACATAGCGTGGGTGGAATGGCCCAGTTCCAGTGCCATTTCACCTGTATCGGGGTGTACCTAACAGTATCTGAGTGACCAATACTCGTTTCATATTAACCAGATAATAATTGAGAAAAGAAAAACAAAAAAAAATTAACCATTTCCAAATGTTTACCAACTATATGCTGATAGTTCAAACTTCACATAATAATTGAAAAAAGAAAAACAAAAAAAATATATTAAAATTATAAACAATATATTCCAAGTATTAGTGAAATTTAAAGGTATCTATGCATATCTTAATTCTTCCACCATTTCAAATGTTTACCAACTATATGCTGATAGTTCAAACTTTACATAAACTATTAATACGTATAGTTGTTATGTGTTCATACCTTATTTATAGTCATTTGAACCTCAGATCTAGTGGCATTGATGCATCTGTGGATTTATGAGTTTCTTAAGGTTCTTCCTGTCTGTCCTAACCATTCCACTTAATCCATGCATTTCTCAAGTGTATCCCAATATGCATCTTAAAATTGTGTTTTCTATTCTACTGATACTTTGAACATTGGTATCGGTGCTATCAAGAGGCTTATCTCAGTACACACTACACTCTTTACCAAAAAAAAAAAACGTTTAGTAGCTGTCATTCTAAAATCTCCTGAACTAATTGTAGCATCTTTTACCCCAAAAAAAGAAAAAAGAAAATGCGGCATGCTACCTTAGTGGTTTGAACCCTTCTAGTTCTACCATTGTATGGGAAATGGGAAACCCCTTTTTTTGCACTAGTTCTTTTAAGGCTTAACCACTTGCATCAAATATTGCCATAATATTTGGAAAAAGAGAAGTGTTGATCCTGAGTCCTGACTCCTTACCTTGTTGAGAATTAAATCCTAGTTATATGGTTAACCTTGTTCTTGTCCAGGTATGTGGACCCCCTGGAATGATGAAACACATCTCAGGAGACAAGGCCAAGGACCGTTCACAAGGCGAGGTATGATAGAGCAACTTCCACATCTACCTTTCAATTTATAAAACATTTTAAAGATTTTTCTTATTGTGCATTTTCATCTGTTTTATGTACAGCTCACAGGCCTACTCAAGGAGCTTGGATATTTGGAGGAAATGGTATACAAATTTTGAGAGACTTGGTAGAAGAAAACATCTTGCTTGTCTTCAATTCTGAAATTCTGTTCCCGCCCAAGAATATGGGAAAAAATGTCAAACTGAATTATCTTAATAGGATAGAAGTTTGATATCCAAACAGCTGAAGATTTAAATAAAAGAATTTTTTTTGGATGAATCCATTACATCTTGTAATACCCTCATCTCATCAGTTTTGATTTTAAGAATCTTTGCATAGGTTTTGCAATGGGTTGTCGTTGTCATCCTGTGCTACTCCTAACTGGCTTCTTTTGTAATGAATGAATTTGGTTGAACATTGAAAAAAAAAACATTTAAATTTTTTAACTTCCACATTTCATTTCAGCTTTGACTTTGAAGAGCTTTGCAGGGGTTTTGCAATGGGTCGTGCTGAGCTACTCCTCATCATCTTCTTTACATCATACTTAATAGATGAGAAGCCACAGATCAATGCAACTAATATGGTTGGGTAGGCATAAATGGCTGTTGCAGGATCTGTGTTTAAAGGTTTTCCAAGTATCCCTTCCTTGATAAGACCCCAAATGACCAGAAGCGTCCCAAACAAGCTCATCCTTCCCGGTTTCAGGAGTCCCATAAGTGCTCCTGCCACAGAAAAGTAGCTCCCTGCAAGAACCTGGAAGGAAACCAAAATAAAGATTAAATAACCAGAAACAGGATCAGAAATATGAACTCTAAGGTAAAGGCCGTCTTAATGACAAACTGCACATATGATGCATGTGCATGGATGTGTAAAATCTCCTGTGCAAGGAAAACAGCAACTTGATTGGCTTGAATTATTGCAAGCAACAACTATTTTGGACAGCTAGCTAGTAAAAACTCTATGTTGGCTGCTATTAAAATGACGGTAAGTTTCAAATGGGAGAAGGTTTTCTGAGTCGGATTCTTAATCAGCGATCAAAGCTATAATCTTCTGGTATTCCTTGGCAGTCTGTTTTGATAGATCAAGTCTCTTCATCAGAAATAGAGCAGCACATGTAGTTGCTCAAGAAATTAAGAAAAGCGAACAGAGCAGTTGAGAAGCAATTACCTCTAGGCGCTGGAGATCAGTCGCTGCAGATGCTTCCTTGACATTGGTTAAGTTATAGATGTTTAATAGGTCATCCCAGCTGGGTATGGTCATATTCTTGGTGAGACCATTTGCAACTGCTCCAGGGTAGAGAAGGGCCTTCACCATCACCAGAGGAAAAATCTCACTTGCTATCAGTTGAGAACATGTGACCTCTATTGGTGTTGTACACATCCCAGATAAACATGGGACCCTGTGAAACGAAAAGAAACTGGATTCCATTAATATTCCAAACAAGCAGAACCCAGCTGTTTGATTTCCCCTTCAAACTTTTGCATGTAACAAAAAGAGAAATTTGTTCCATTTCAATCGAGTAAGCCAGGCGAAAGGAGGCCCTAGAAGCTAATGTCATCTAGTCTGTGCTTTTAAGCTTAAGAAGAACAACCTTATCTACAAGGAAAATCATGAAATCCCATTGAGTTAAACTTCAAGATATGGAAAACATGGAAAAACAAATCTATTGTCTCGCCCATTTGTTCGACGTAGTTAAAGACAACTATAAATTGACATTTCAAGGTCAAAGGAGATGCATTTATTACATGGAGAGAAAAGATACAAAATCTAGCTTCATCTTTCATGCAGGCGGAATTTGGCCTCTTCTAGGATCAATCTGAGACCAATGTAGGTGGAATTTTCTAAGATAATGCAAACCCAACATATATACAGATGAAGCACAGCATAAGAGATTCATGAAGAAGCTTTACTTTATTACTTACCGGATTGCAAGCCATGGACAAGCAAGCATAAGACCAGTAGAGGTGAACATTGCAAATTAAGGAGAAGAAGGTTTTAAACCCAGATCCTGAAAAATGGTTTGAACCATTTTGTTTGGTTTTATTCCATAATTGGAATGCTTCCATTGGTGCTTCACTGATACAATCAAGGAGGGTTCCAGATTATAGAACATTTAAGACGTCCAAAGTTTCAAAACCACAGGTTTCATTTTTCATAAGATACTGTGTGAAATATTTCAGGAAAAAGAGAGACCCAGATCTTGGAACAGGCTGAGTTTCATAGTCTGGTTTGGTTTGATCTCGTAGATGAAGCTCATCCATCGTTAAGGCAACGAAGGTTATATGATTTTTAGTGGATTAGCAGTAAGACTCACCTGAAGAGAGGGATCTGAAGGATGATGAGGAGGAAAAAGGCGCGAGAAGCGATTGTGGAGATGTTGGTCGCCCTTTGCCTGGAAGAAGCCATTGTGAGACAGAGAGAGAGAGAGGTTGTTTTGCTTCTCAAGCGACAAGCGTGAGAAAATGAAATCCAGAGGGTTGAAGGTGTACGTATTATGTTTCAGTTTGTCACGTTACTTTGTAGAATGCTAAATGCTCTTCCCAGGCACACATAGGATTTGACTGATTTGTCTTATTTGTATGGTTAGAATCATATTGGAGGTTTTTTCTGGTAATTGGTTAGATTGGAGATGGGGGTTGAACTTCACAGCATTTTACAAGTAACAAACAGAAAACGAAGGCGTGTTCATGGGCACAAAGGAAACGTTCAGTACAAAATTTCTTTGAAACTAGAATTAAACAAATGGCCTATTAGCTCAGTTGGTTAGAGCGTCGTGCTAATAACGCGAAGGTCGCAGGTTCGAGACCTGCATGGGCCAATTCACGTATATCTGATTATTTTTACTATTTTTTATGCATTTATACCATTGCAAACGAAGTTTGCTCCATTTGGGACAATGTTGGAATTTTGCGCTAATGTAATTTTTAGTTTACTTTTAGATTCATGGAGGGTTATTTGGTTGGAGTGAGGAAGGAAGCAAGACCGTCTGCATTTTATATGAGAAAAAATTGACATAATGGAAAGGTGGTACAAATT